TGAAAAAGCTCCCAGCAACTTTGATTTCCTCTCAAGGTGGAACATCACCCTTTGATTTCCTGTTTTTAACATTCAGAGACGAGAGGCAGGGAGGAGAGGAGAATCGATCAGAGCCGCCGAGTGAAGGTCAGGAGGAGAGACGGAGGGAGGAGCAGGGAGGGACAGGAGAGGATGGGGGATGGGGGGGGGAGATGAAGGGAGGAAGAGGGAGAGAGGATACTCACATGTGTGTGTTCTCAGACAGAGAGTTTTAAACCTCTCCGTCATCTCAGAACCTCCATGTGTCTGTGGTGCGTCTGTAGATTCACCTGCTTCGTTACAACATTGTTTTGAACAAATTCATTTCCGTGTAACTGGAACAAATCCCAACTGTCACCTGCTGAGGGCGCTGCAGCGTCACGCATGTCGAGACAAAAAAAAAAAAAACAGGTTCTCACCTAAGGTCAATCAGGTCTCTGGACTGGAGGACCCAGAGGAACCCCCCCGGGCCGAGACGGGGAGAAGATCAACCACGGGTAGAACTAACGGACCACTGACCTTCTGGACGAGACGGCAGGTGTAACGACCACTGAGTGACCGTCACGTGAAGACGACTGGAACATCTCTTCACCAGAATCCACACTTCCTTTTCTTCCTTCTCTTTTTTTTCCTTTTTTTTTGTTTTTTTTTTCAAATTGTGATTCTTTGAGGTCAAAGGTCGTGTCGAAAATACTCGAAAAGACAAACAGATGTGAATGAGTTTGTGTCCCTGTGGCTGCGATGAGTCTCTGACTCCTCCCCTCTCCGTCTGTTACAGAGGAGCAGTGTGTGAGCTCGGAGGAGGGATGACTTGTCTGGCAGGAATAATGGTGAGACACACACACACACACACACACACACACACACACACACCTGTATATTTCACAGCCGTAGGGTTTATTAACTCAGGTCTAGAGGGCCCCTCCACAGAGCAGGCGTCAGTGTCTCATCGATCTGTGTGCACACACATGATACTCTGTGTGTGTGTGTGTGTGTGTGTTAGAGAGCCTGGTTTTATCTCCTGCTGCTCCCTGCTCCATGTTTGGACACGGCCTCAGTGAGATTGAATCCCTTCTCCTCCACCTGCTCCGTCACTGACACCACGTTCACCTTTTTTCTCTTCTGGGTTTTTTTTTTATTTCACGTCCTCCTGGACTGAACAGCACCGAGTCCACAGGAACTTTCAACAGTTCTGCCCACTCACTCTCCCTCCTCCTCCTCCACCTCCTCCATCCCTGGTGACGACCCCCGTCACTTCCGTCCCGTCGTGTTAATAGAACAGGTTTTTAAGTCGCTTCAGGCTGAGGTTGTCCTGCTGGACAGTGGAGCAGTGGACACGGAGAAAACTTGGTGCAGAACCGTCCAATCAGATCACTCCAATCAGCAGCCTCACTGTAGGCCTGCTAGAAGGCCCAGCTGCTGCTGCTGCTAACTCTGCCCTGATTGGCTGAAGGAACAATCTGGTTTTAGGCTCCAGCACTGCTGACTGTGAAGGCCTCAGGGCAGATTTACTTCACCCCGGCAACAGATGAGGGCCGAAATATGATTGGATAAAAAAAATGTCAGCATGCTAAAGATATTTTTAAAAAATGGTGGTAAGGGATGAGAGCAGAAGTCCTGGACCACGGCTGTGTTTCCTGTCTGACTGGGGTCAAAGGTCATTTTTCATCTTCATTATTAGAAGACCACACACTCACTCACACACACACGCACGTCATCAGCAAACGGGAAAAAAAAAGGAAGGCGTGAAAAGATGAGGTTATTCCAGAGCCCCTCCCCCTCTAACCCCCCCCCCCCCCACTATCCCCCCACCCCCCCCCCCACATCTATACCTGCCTCACTCGCTGCAGCACAAAGCTCTCTCACCCGATTCCTCCCTCCCTCCCTCCCTCTCTTCCTCTCCATCTCTCATAGTCTGCGCTGCAAAGTTATATGAAGGGCATCAGGCAGGCCCAGCGAGCCGAGTGCAGAGTGACAGCGGCGAGCGGAGTGATGGCTTGGCCCGATAAACAACCCACGTCAAATGAAAAGGCTCTGCGCTTGCCATCATCCCCTGTCACAATGCAATTACTGAACAGAGTGATAGCAAGATAGCAGCCCCCCCCACACACCCCCTCCTCACCCCCACCAGCAGCCACCATGATAAAAGTATTGACTGATTTGATTGAATGATTAAAATAATGCAGACATAAAAACCCGATTCCTATAGAGAGAAGTGGGGAGAGAGAGAGAGACACAGAGAGAGAGGGAGAGAGAGGGGGAGAGCCTTTGTAGATGTATGTCATTAATGTGTGCCTGTGTGTGTGCCTGTGTGTGTGTGTGTGTGTGTGGTCAGATCCTCCTGCCTCCCTTCATTGTTCTGACTTGTTTAACTCTCCTCTGTCTCTCAGGTGGCTCTCTGTGCTGACGTGGAGGAAGTTCTTCTGTCTGATGGAAATGAAACGTCCATCCAGAGTATCCTCAGTCCTCAGAGCAGCAGCAGCAGCAGTAACAGCAGCAGCAGTAACAGCAGTAACAGCAGTAACAGTAACAGCAGCAGCAGTAACAGTAGCAGCAGTAACAGCAGCAGTAACAGTAGCAGCAGCAGTAACAGTAACAGCAGTAACAGCAGTAGCAGCAGCAGCAGTAACAGTAACAGTAGCAGTAACAGTAGCAGCAGTAACAGTAGCAGCAGCAGTAACAGTAACAGCAGTAACAGCAGTAACAGCAGTAACAGCAGTAACAGCAGCAGCAGTAACAGTAACAGCAGCAGCAGTAACAGTAGCAGTAACAGTAGCAGCAGCAGCAGTAGTAACAGCAGCAGCAGCAGTAACAGTAACAGTAGCAGTAACAGTAGCAGCAGTAACAGTAGCAGCAGCAGTGACAGCAGCAGTAACAGTAACAGCAGCAGCAGTAACAGTAGCAGTAACAGTAGCAGCAGCAGCAGTAGTAACAGCAGCAGCAGCAGTAACAGCAGCAGCAGCGGTAACAGCAGCAGCAGTAACAGTAGCAGTAACAGTAGCAGCAGTAACAGTAGCAGCAGCAGTAACAGTAACAGCAGCAGCAGCGACAGCAGCAGCGACAGCAGCAGTAACAGTAACAGCAGCAGCAGCAGTAACAGTAGCAGCAGTAACAGTAGCAGCAGCAGTAACAGTAACAGCAGTAACAGCAGTAACAGTAACAGCAGCAGCAGTAACAGTAACAGCAGTAACAGCAGTAACAGTAACAGCAGCAGCAGCGACAGCAGCAGCGACAGCAGCAGTAACAGTAACAGCAGCAGTAACAGTAGCAGCAGCAGTAACAGTAACAGCAGTAACAGCAGTAACAGCAGCAGTAACAGCAGCAGCAGCGGTAACAGCAGCAGCAGTAACAGCAGCAGCAGTAGCAGCAGTAACAGCAGCAGCAGTAGCAGCAGTAACAGCAGCAGCAGTAACAGCAGCAGCATCTCTGACTGTGGCATTAAACCAAGCCTCTCTGCTCCTTCTGCCAAGTTAAGAGCCCAGTAATTGCCATGCTGTCAGATTTAGCCCCAGACTTCTCCTAATGCCCCGACTGGGTTTGAGGCTGATGGTTGTTTTTGAAGCAGGAACAATTAGAGTCTGATTCACGCGTCGGCTCCAGTTCTGGACGTATAATTAGGATTTTGGTCCAGATCTTTTGGCGCGCTTCAGTCGTCGTCGGCGTGGGTTATTGATCCGTCTGTCACCGTGGAACATCCTGTTGATCTGAGAACACTCTGGTTTCCCCGCTTTTATTCTCTTTTCCATTCAACGTTCCTGTCGTCCGTCCAAGTCCTGTGTTTGTTGATCAATAACTGAACACAGATGGGAACGAGTGTGTGTGTGTGTGTGTGTGTGTGTGGCTGCCTTCACAAAAGCAGGAAACGTGCACGTCCGTGTGCACGTGCTTCCATATTTACAAACCTTAGACTGATCACAATAGACTTTGACAATGACACACACACACACACACACACACAGTGTAGTTGAATTTACAGCTGGTGTGTCGTGGGCCTGGAGAAGAGTGTGTATCGGTGTAGTCACATGACACAGGCGGTGTGTGTGTGTGTGTGTGTGTGTGTGTGACACTGACCCCAACGTCTCAGATTAGTTTGTCGTTGGAGTAACATCGCTGATGGAAGAGTTCAGTTTGTCTGTGGTCTGGTACCAGTACGGGCCCGCGCCCCGGTGGTTTGGTACCATGGCCCGACAGGATGTGACCGTAACATTACAGTTGACTGATCTCATGGTCACTTTAATAACAACAACATCCAAACTGAATGACCTTCCAGTTCCTTCAGGTGTTCCAGTCCTGCTGTAGTTGTTCTGAGGATGGCAGTGTAGTTGTTGCTTCTCTGACAGTGTAACAGTGTGACAGTGTAACAGTGTGACCAAGTGTCCATGGAGACTCCTTGACTTGACTGTGTCCAGATGTTGCAGCCATCGTGGACAGGAACAGGACAACAGGGAACTTTGGATCCACACGTGTTTCCTCCAGGTGAGATTCATACAAATCCTGACAAAAACAAAGTTGTTTTTTTTTTTTTTCCAGTGACTTCTGTTTTTCTGCTTCTCTCAGCAGAGAACGATGAATTTATTCACTGATTTTTCAGACTCAGGAGAAAGTGTGTGTGTGTGTGTGTGTGTGTCCATGTGGTGTAAATGTCAAGTGTCATGTCCAGATCTCTGTCACAGACG